CCCCCCCCCCCATTCATCGCCCCCCCCCCCCCCATCCAGCGTCGCCCAACGCCGAGACGGGGCCACGTCGGCCAGTTTTCCACCTGGGCAGGAGTTCAGCTCCGAGCTTGCAGGGCAGGCCCTGCGGACTAGCCGCCCGCCCTGCGCGCGCCCCCTGAGCCATGCAGGCGCGGGCCGCCGATGCTTTTGTTTTCCCAAAGCATGCCGCATACGAGGTCCTTATTCTTCGATCGGGGGTGGACGGACCTCCTACCCTGACACGTCGATTAAGGAATTGGCCGTTTTCGGTTCGCAAGAGGGCGTCGCGGCCGTCATTTTTGCGGGTCCAGGTCCGTCGGTTTCGGTCCCAGGCCGTTGTCACTAACAGGAGGTTTACTAATAAAGTGAGGTTTGTCTACCGCCGATTCGAATAGGAGATCGACACCACAATTGATTTGCTCCAGAGTTGATGTTTTTGTGCGTCGCCGGGTCTGCGACAAAATACGTAGAACGTTCCAGAGATGCACGGAGCATTCTTTGCATTGCATGGATTCGGCCCAACAATACTTCTGAGGTTAATCGAAACGATGCAGTCGATCCCTCACTTGGCGCATAAAAAGGTCATGTCAGAACTGCGCCTAGACGGCACATCGGTCGCAGTGTGCGGCCGCAGCGCTTTAGAGCAGCCAGACAAGACATGTTGAAAATCATACCGCAGAGGAGGAAGGACACGGGTGGGGAGGTGGGGAGGGGGGAGGGGGGCTGCCTCAGAAAGTGTTCCGCGGGACACTCCTTGCCGTATAGGATACCTGAGTCAAGAATGCACATATTTGCTAACAGCCCGGCGCCATGCTTCGCCCTGAAGAAAAGTTTGCCCGTGGACTTCTTGTATGATTTGTGCGTGTGCTGAATAATTGTGGCCTGTTGAAGTCTTGGACGCCCTCTTCCTCGTTTACGAAGAACAAGTAAGTCAGAGCTCCCAGCCTGGAATACGAAGGCCCGAACTAAGCTCGTGCACGGTGACGATCTCCACTTGCCGAAATACACTAATTTATTTGACAGAATGCGCAGGCTGATCCGACTTTGGTGTGACATTGCCCGCACCGCTTCGTTTGCTGACGTGCGACAGCATGGGATGAGAAAAACCGAATACCTGTCGCAAGCACTGTGCTTGAAAAGAGTCCAGCTTGTCCCTGTCGGCTTGTCGCAGGCATTAGGCCTCCAAGCTGTACGTGAGTTTCGCCGCCACGCTGGAGTTGAGTGGGTACAACTTCCTCTCCCTCGTGATAGCAGCCTGCTTCCACGCTGCCTTCAGAGACTCGAATGCTGCACGCGCCTCGCCGACTCTTCCTGGCGATGGAAGCCTGGGTTCTGCCATCTGCGCGCAGGAGGTTGCCCAAGTGCACAGCAGGGGTCACGACTTTCGCTGGAATGCCCTGCGGGGTACAGATGTCATCAGTATGTCGGATCTGAGGCGTCTTACCCCAATTCGGTTCCAACCTGAAAAGGCGCGCTCGAAAGATTAACCAGTCCAGGGAAAACTGCAAACGTCGAGTGCCATTTGACAGTAGGGCCGTGTCGTCAGCATACGCGATGTCGGCCAATTGCGTCCCCTCAGGGTTGCGGCCAATATCACCCAGCATGATAATGAAGAGATGCGGGCTGAGGGGGCATCCCTGTGCAATTCCCAGAATCCTTATCTTGCACCCGACCGTCTTCTTCCGTATCCTTCACGTCGAGGGCCTTCTTGTCATGGATGGCGTTTTTCATGCCAACGGAAGGGTTCGGGATTCCAGAGAAAGCAAGCGCTACGAGGAGTGCTGCTTGGTCCACTTTTCAAGGGAAGAAAAACCACCCGGACCGGACAACTGGCGTTTACTAAACGGCCCTGGGCGTTTTTAGACAACTCTGTCCTGTTCGATTTCTTCTGTGGGCGCGTTTACCAAACGACTTCGCGTGTCGGGGTGGTTATTATGGGGGTGGATTTTATGCCTTCTAGTAAGGGTTCGGGGTTCCACAGGGAGCGAGCGCTGCGAGGAGTGCTGCGTGGCCCACTCTGTCGAAGGCCTTGGGCCCGTCCGGGAGCCCCGGGGACGCCCTGCCATGCTCGCAGGCCCGCGCGCCCTCGAGGAACTTGTGCAACATGAAAGCCGCGTCCTCCTCCTCCTCCTCCTCCTCAGTCCCCGGCCCCACGCGTGCTCCTGACACCGGCGCTGAGCCAGAGCTCGCCCTCCACGCCACCGCTCGCGAGCCTGTTCAGGAGTAGAGTCAAGTCGGGCCTTTCCCTCTACAGGAGGGATATTCAGAAATAGTCAAAAATAGCCCGGGGACGATACATATATATATATACATATACATATATGACTATGTTTGCATGTGTTTTGCGTCTGTTTTGTTGTTCGTCCAAAACCCGCCTGTAGGGGGACACGCCCGACCTAAGAGTAGTGCCGCCAACACCTCATACCCAACCGGAAGCAGCGACATAGGTCGGCAATTCTCTGGCAAGGACTCCTCGCCTTTCTTAAACAATGTGGTGACCTGGCTATGCCGCCAAGAATTCGGTAACGCCTTTGCTTTGCCAGCACTGGTTCAAAAGGAACAACAGGATTTCGCAAGCTTCTGCGCTGCTGTGGAGTGCTGTCCAGAAGTCGGGGGGTAATTATGTCATTCGGGCCCAGATGTCTTCCCGGATTTGAGCTCTCGCAACACCTTGTCCAGCTCTGCCCCGAAGAATTCCTCGAGCGGAAGCTGCAATACAGTCGGGGCCCTGAAGAAGGAACCCTTTTCGTTGGGGAGGGGCTCCGCGTTCCTTACGTGTTTCGATAGGACATCGAAGCTTAACTTTTGGAAAAAGGGGCCTCGTTCCTTATTCAGGGTTCCTTAGCTCAAGGCCCCGACTGTATCTGGCTCGGCGTTCGCCCGGCCGGCAGCGGGCGAGGCTCGGGCGGCGCCGACAATTGGGGTTCAGAATAGGAAGGTGCCACTGTCTCTGCCTTCCGGCGACTCTCCACCAGGTTCCCGGCACGCTCTCTGATTCTGCCCTGTGTCCTGGGCCCCTTCCGCTTGCGCAGCCCGAGGCCCTCCCAAGTGCCGTTTGCTACAACGTCGTCTAACCATGCGGCTCTCTCACGCCGTGCTGAATGTCGAATTTGCCTGGAGAATTCTGTCTCCAATGTGTATTGGTGCTCTGCCCGGGCCCGGCTCCGGATTCGATGAGGTCCAGAGTGCCTCGCCAGATCCATTGCCTCTTCCCCCCAACATGTCTTACGTCGATAAATGATTCGGCGGCTGGCTCCATGCAGCGAGCAACGTGGTCCACGTGCTGACAGACCCAAATCTGCCCGCCGCGGCATGTTGGTTCGTGAAAGTTGTCACGAATGACTGTTGGAAGCTTGCCGTGATTGCGGGCCGTTGCAGAGACCGCAAAGCACGGGTCTGCCCACGAGTTCTTGGTCGGACCTTCGGCACGTGAATTTCCAAGTCAGGAAAAACAACAAAAATGATATGAAGCAAGCGGGATTGATCTGGCAGAGGAGACTCTGCGATCAACATGCTGCCATTCCCAGTCGATGACCAGATGATCTATTTCTGCGAAGTTCTTGGGCGTCTGCTCGCTTGTCGGATCCGTTCTAAGATTGTAATGCGTAAACTTCTCCTCGATCGACCTGTCCAAAAACAGAAAAGTGTTCGCCAAGACCATGCTGAGCGCCTTGCATCGATCTGCGAGTAGATGTTGATTGCTGGCGGCGTCATGCGAGCGCGTAGGGTCTCCGAAAGCGCAAGGCCCAACTCCGTCGACCTCTTCACAGAACATCTGATCGAAACACCACCGTTGAACCACGAGCCTTGCACCGACCCACGGTCTCGCGCAACATGGTGAAGAGGGCGTTCAGACCAAAGTCCAGAGCCGACTGCGGGGCGTACGCGGAGACAGTGCACACGTGTCCCCAGGAATCTTCATCGTCAACGTCGCGATGCGGTTGCTCATCTGCGCGAAAGACATGACTCAGGAGGAAAGGAAACACACATACACAATTAATCGTCGACTCCCAGAAAAGATTCGAAAATATTGGAAGTGAGGGGGAAGACAGAACCCCAGAAAATATTTGAAAATATAGGGTATCTTGCTATTTGTGTGTATTTAGTTGTGTGTCCCTGGGCCCCTTCAATGACTGAGTGTCGCAAACATGGCGTTACAGCAAATCGCACTCCTGCATTGCCCTCTCAGTTGTGAGGCTTAGAGGCAAAATAGCAAGACTGTCATCCCGCACAAAGCAGGGTGTTTCAGGTACGCGCGCTTCCTGTATACATATGATACCAATGGACTTCGTTCGCAGAATCATGATACTGTGTTCCAACTTTGTGGAATCACTGGCTACTCCCAGTCCGCCGACAGTCCAAGAAGCGAGACGGCATACTTTGCTCGGTCGTCGGAGTTGCGGATGGTTGTAATGACTTGGCTTCCCCAGTTGCGGTACGAAGTCGTGAGGCGTGCGATGGCCATGATGAGAAAGTAAAGGAACACCCATGTCACCATTCAGTGAAACATTATGCGGTGAAACTCCGATGTGCCGTCGTGTTCCTTATTCGTCGTGGCCGCGGCTGCCACGACTCCCGCCGCCCTTGGTGGTCCCGTTGCTTTTCCCAATCAGCTCGGCCTCTTTCGCCCCAGCCTTCCTGGTGCCTTTGGAAGGATACCTGTCGAGCTTGCTGGACATCTTGGCCATGAGATTGGGGAGGTCAGGGAAGTCTGGATTTTTGAACCACTCCTGCCACCCCCTGCCAGACTCCACCTTGAGGCTCCCCTTCTCGATGGTGGCATGTATGGCTGCCTCGGTGCCCAACTCTACATTTTGCTGGCCTCGGGGTCCGCCCACACGGTCTTCGCGCCGTATACCCCCACTGCTTGAAGAGGTGCTCCGCGCTGAAACGAAGGACGTAAGCACACGCTGAGGAAGGAGTTGATCAGGTTTCGCCCAAACGGGATTGCCACCCTCTCAGAAGGCAGCCCTCCGGGAAATCTTGACCGGCGAGTCCCGGTCCCCAGTCGACGCGAATTTCGCGATGGCGAGCCCGCCGAACTCGCCCTTCACGTGCACCTCCTCGGGCGGTGGACTGTAGCCGTTCTTCTACACTTTGTCTTTGATCGAGTGCGTGGCTTCACCAAGATGTGCTAACGACTGCAACGCCCCGAACACCACCGTCTTGTCCTTCTCTGCCGTCCTTGCGTCCATGGAGGGGGTGATCTTCAGCTGCCCGATCTCGTCCTCCAACGCCCTGATGTGGTTCCAGATGTCCTCGCTTGTCCGGTATCCCGCATAAGAAGCCTCTGGTGCCTTCGGAGAGATGTTCTCCAGGTTCGTGAGACGGGTCTCGATGTCTTCGATCCTGGATTCGGTCGCTCCCGTCCTGGCCTCGAACGTCGTTCCCAAGTGTTCCAGTGTTCGTTTGACCCCAGATATTGCCTTTCGTAGGGGACTTACCTCCTTCAAAATGTCCGCGATCCGCTCGAGCGTGGCCGGCTGAGCAGGTTGCGTTGGATAGCTTCTAACGGAGTGTCTGGGACCGATCGAGCAGGCGTGGAGATAGGAAGGATTTCTGGGCGTGGTGTGTCGGGGAAGAGAGTTGAAGTCGTCCATCTGGTAGAGTGGGCTGAACAGTTGCTGCAGTACAGCCCCCCCCTCCATCTCGTCCTTCACGCTCACTTCCACATGGCGTCCCTTCCATCCGGGTGTGACTCGACGCTGCCATGATATTTCCGGCACCTGAATCACAACTATCCTGATCGGGGCAGCAGAAAGTAGAGTGTAGTACAACGAACGCAGTAAGAGGACGAATGAGTGCTAACCTTGCGCTAGCGTTGCGCTTGAGCCCTTGAGCCTTGCGGTGTATAGAAGGGGTCTTTATCATAGACACTTCGCATAACCCCACCAGCCCATCCAGGAACGATGCCCTTGCGAGTTGCCTTGGTCATATAGATATACGTATGTGAAGGAGCCTGAAGTGGAAAACAGGGTTTGGGAAGCCGTCACACCCCAAGAGGGAGGGGATGGAGGAGGAATCGGAGGAAAAGGAGGAAGAGGGCGAGGGGCAGGGGGAGGGGGGATGAGGGAGAAAGGAGGAAGAGGAATAGTCGGATGAGTACGAGGAGGAGGAGGAGGAGCAGGAGGAGAAGGAAGAAGACGCCGAGCGGAAAGGCCAGTGGCGTCTTGGATGTCTATCTGGATGTCTCTTGAGAGTTTCTTGGAGTCCTCTTGGGGCGTCTTGAGGGCCTCTTGGCCGTCCCGGGAGCCTCGAGCGTCTTGGGTGCCTCGGGGGAGCCTCTTTGGTACCTTTTGGGGGTCTCTTGGGTACCTCTTGAGGCCCTCTTGGGGGCCTCTTGGAGCATCCTGGGCGCATCCTGGGGCCTTCTTGGGGCACTCTTGGGAGCCTCGGGGGCCATCTTGGGTAAAGAAGGGGAGGTACTCATTCAGCGCCCCCCCCCGGGAGGCCACAATTTGCCCAACACCGTAGGAAGATATCGGATGGCCTTCGGCCCATCTGACACCGTGCCTGGGCTGTGGGTCAGAGTTCTCCCGGGTACTTCTTGGGTTCTCTTCGAAACGTTGTCGGGGGCTTCTCGGGGCAGTTTTGGTGTTTCTTGGGAGCATCTTGGGGGCCTGTTGGGCCTCTTGGGGCCTGTGGGGGGCCTCTTGAGTGCGCCTGGGGCCTTGGGTGCTCTTGGGGCCTCTTGGGAGCCTCTTGGGGCCTTCTGGGGGTGGCTCCTCGGGGCTGAGGGCTCGAAATGCGCGTTCGGGTCCCCCATTTGAGCCCCCTCTTGGAGTCGTCGTTGGGGCCTCTTGGGCAGTCTTTGGCGCCCCTTGGGCCGTCTTGGGGCCCTCTTGGGTAGTTTTAAGGCCCTCTTGGAGGCCGTCTTGGAGAGATCATGGGGGTTTCCATAGGGCGGTCTGGGAGCGTCGGGAACCGAAAAGGCGAGAAGGCCGCTAAGGCCTTTTTGGACGCCCCAATGGGTCGCGGTGCCCCCGTCCATGGGAAAAGGGTAGGGGGGAGTGGTCAGGACACCTCCTGCTCACAAGGCGCAAGCCGTCCCGCTCACTCCCACCCGCCCTCCCAACACGACAGTCGCCCCCCATGGCATGCCTGTGTAGAACCCATGCGAGGTGGTCGCGGGGCGCCCGCGCATGGTCCAGATTTGGGGCTTCGTGTATGTTGCATCGTGATTTGACCGGGATGCTGGGGTGGGGGGTCGTCATGGGTCGTGTTCGGCTGCTGGTCGCCTAGGGGAGGGTGTGCTCATTCAGGGGGAAGGACGAGGAGGACGAGGAAGAGGGAGGGTGATGAGGAGGAGGAGGAGGAGGAGGAGGAGGAGGAGGAGGAGGAGGCGGAGGAGGAGGAGGAGGAGGAGGAGGAAGGAGGGGGAGGAGGAGGAGGAGGAGGAGGAGGAGGAGGAGAGGAGGAGGAGGAGGAGGACGAGGACGAGGAAGAGGAGGAGGAGGAGGAGGAGAAGGGAGGCGGAGGAGGGAGGAGGAGGGAGGAGGAGGAGGAGGAGGGGCCTCCTGCTCGCCAGCTCGCTCACTCCCACCCGCCTTCAGCACACAGGCGGCACGCAAGCATATCCCTGTCAACAAAAACCAGTGCAGGGTGGGCGCGGGGCGCCCGAGCAGCCCCGAAGGGGAAGCAGGGGGCTGGAAGAGGAGACTCCTCCTCCTCCGCTTCCTCCTCCCCCTCCTCCCTCCTCCTCCTCCCTCCTCCCTCCCCTCCCTCCCTCCCTCCTCCCTCCTCCCTCCTCCCTCCTCCTCCCTCCTCCTCCCTCCTCCTCCGCTTCCTCCTCCTCCCTCCTCCCTCCTCCCTCCCTGAACCACTTACGCCCAGAGGGCTACTGGGATTCCCCAACTTTTAGGCCCTGTAGGGGCTCCGATTCGCTTGTGGAGAACCGGTGGCTGCCGGGCCTGGCAGACTGGCGTCTTTCGGGGCTGCCCGGGCTGCCTGGAGTGCCCATGGCTCCTTGGGGCTGCCCAGGGTTGCTCGGGTGGCGGTCCTCGGGTTGCCCTGTTGCCCTGTTGCCTGGTTGCCCGGCCCTTCCTCGAGAAGCCCATGGTTGCCTTGTTGCCAGGCAGCGCCAAGCAGTGCCAATTCATTTAAGAAACCAAGGCTACGCAATGACAGGCAATGCTAAACAAAGCTAGGCAATGCGAAGCAGCGTCAACCACCGCCAAGCAACGCCAAGCAGTGCCAAGCGATGCAGAGCCACTGCAAGCGATGCCAAGCAATACCAAGCAATGCCGAGAAACGCCAAGCAACGTCAAGCAATACCAATCATTGCAAAGCCAAGCAGTGCACTGCCAACCAAAGCCGAGCAACGCCCAGCAGTTCCAAGCAATGCCCAGCGACGCCATGAAGTGCCAAGCCAATGCCAAGCAATGCCAAGCAACGATTCCAAGCAACGATTCCAAGGAATGCAGGGCCACTCCAGTGCAAATGCCAAGCAATTCCAAGCATCGCCAAGCATTGCCAAGCAAGGCAAATCCAGTGCCAAGCCATGTCAGCATTGCGAAGCCATGCCGAGCAATGCCAAGCAACGAACCAAAGCCATGAAAAGCAATGTGAAGCAATGCAAAGCAACACGTAATGCCAAGCAACGATTCCAAGCACTGGCAAGCAATGCCAATTATCGTCAATCAATGCGAAGCAACGGTTCCAAGCAAGACCAAGCGACGCCAAGCAATTCCAGTCAATGCCGAGCCAATAGCAAGTAACTGTTAAGCAGTGTCAGGCAATGCAAATAAAATGCCAAGCACTGCCAATTACAAAGTCAGAGCAATGCCGAGCACAACATCCAATCAATGCCCAGCAGAGCCAAGCAATGCCAAGCAATGCGAAGCAGCGGCAAGCATCATCAAGCAATGCAGCGCCAATGCCAAGCAAAGCTTAATAATCCCAAGCAATGCGAAGCAGCGTTAAGCACTTCAAAGCAATGCCAAGCACTGCAACGCCAGTGCGATGCCAAAGCGCAGGCCAATGCCAGGCAATATCAAGCCAAGCAACGCAATGCAACTCAATGCCAAGCAATGCCCAGCTGTGCTAAGCAACGCCCGAGCAATATCAAACGTTGCAAAGCTGAGTTTCGATTCCAAGCAATTCCAATCAATGGTAAGCAATGCAAAGGAATGCCAAGCACGCATTTGATTCAGTCCCAAGGAGTGCCAAAGCATGCAAGGTCAATGCCAAGCTACGGTGAGCAATGACAAGCAGTACCAAACACCTCTTAGCAATTCAACACGAATCCATCCAATGCAAAGCCAACGCCAAGCAATGCAACACAATGCCGAGCAGCGTCGAGCAATGCCAAGCAGTGCCAATCAATGCCAAACAGTGCAACGCAATGCCAAGCAATACAAAGCCATGCCACGCCATGCCAACCAACGCAAAGCAAAGCCAATGAGAAGCAATGCCAAGCAATGCCAAGCCGATGCAAAGCAATGACATCCAAGACTAGCCAGTGCACATAACTGCCACGCGGTGCATATTCATCCCAAGCATTACAAAGTAAACAATGCCAAGCAGTGTCAAGCAATGTAGAGTCAGTTCCAAGCAATGCGTATCACTGTCAGCAATACCGAGCACTGTCAAGCAACACCAAGCAATGCCAAGCAATGCAGCAATGCCAAGCAATGTCAAGCAACGCCTCGCAACACCAAGCGTTGTTAGCAACGCCAGGCAATTTCAATCAATGTAAAGCAGAGTCAAAGCAACCCCAAGAACATATTCCAAGCAACGTCAAGTAGTGGGACGGAATGCCAAGCAACGCATAGCATTGCTCTGCATTGGTCAGAACTGTCCTGATTGGTTTCGGAAGCAAGCAGGCCCCTGATTCTGGCCGCGCTGTGCCAATTTTTTCACGTCGTGGGCGTGCGGGAGGTTTGAACCTCTTCGGCTTGGGACCGGTTCTCATCCCTAGACGCCTGGACAGCTTGCAGAGGCTATGCACTGGGACGGCGCGAGCCATTCACCAGGCCGGCTTGGTATACGCTCCGCCGTGCCTGCCAGCACGCGCGGAGTCGTGCATCGAGCTGGTCGGGTGCACGCACGGCGCCTCCCAGGAGAAGCCCCAAGAATGCGCGACACTCCGCGGGCATCTCTCGGAGCTGCGCGCGCACCCCCGCGGCGCCGCAGTTCGCCGCGGCAGCTGGCCGCGGCAGCCGGCCGCGGCAGCTCGCCGCGCGCGCCCAAATCTTATGGGGCATGGGGGCAGCTCGACGCTGGCTGGCCTCTGGCCTTGCTGGGCCCGCGCGCGCCGGCGAGCTGCGGCCAGGGCGGCCGACCCGACCCGCCCGGCCGCCCCGGCCGCCCGGCCGCGCATGCTGCTGGTGCGCTCGCCCTGCGGCCCAGCGTCCAGCAGCGGCCCTGTGGAGGAGGAGCTATAGGCTCAGAGGAGGGAGAGGTGCCCACACAGTGCCGATTTTTAATACATGATCCGCGTGCGGATCATGTATGAAAAATGCAGGGATTCAGTGTTAAAAACAACGATGAGTTCATGCATCAATTTATGCATGAATTGATCATGCATTAAACATCCTACATTTTTAGTATTCCCATGCATTACAAACTGCCCTGTGCCGCTACCCTTCCGTCGTGTGCGCCTCTTTGGGCAGCCTTGGAGACCTTCGTCTCGCCACGGCCGGGTTCGCCTCGAGATCCTGGTCAGGAGGCGCCCCAGGAGAGGTCTAGGGAGTCCTGGTACTGGTGCCTTCTGGTTTCCCCAGAGGCGTGCTCGCGTCATGTCTGACGTCGCGTAGAGCACCTTCTCCTATTGGCAGGGTCGGGCGTCGAAAAGGACAACGATCCCCAAAGGGTGCGCGGTGCATAGCATGACATAGCCTTGCGTACAGCACAATGCATGGCATCGGGGGAGGAGGGAAGGGAGGGCAGTTGGGTTGCGGGAGGAGGAATAGGAGGAGGTGTCCTCCTTCAACCCCCTACTCCCCTCCTCCTCCCCTTTCTCCCCATCTCTCCCACCCCTCCTCAGGAGGAGGAGGAGGAGGAGGAGGAGGAGGAGGAGGAGGAGGAGGAGGAGGAGGAGGAGGAGGAGGAGAGGAGGAGATCAGGACGAGGGTGAGGTGGGCGAGGATGAGGGGCCCTCCTCAGGGAGGAAAAGGGAGGAGGATGAAGAGTCAGGAGGAGGAGAAGAAGGAGGAATAGGAGGAGGGGGAGCAGGATGAGAGGGGGTGGAGGAGGGGGAGGAGTAGGATGACGTTTGGGGAAGGCACGTCCTCTCTGGACCCCGGGGGTCTGCGCGCGGGCTTCCCTTCGCCCCCTTTTCGCCGAGGCAGGGGCTCGAATCGAAGAAGACTGTACATTGGCAGCAGAAGGCCCTGAACAGCCGACATACTTACGTGCATCTGATCTGTACAATCGGGGAGCCAGTTGGAAGAGTATGCGGGATACCATCGGGGAGACCATACTGGAGAGCTTACGTGAGACCATTTGCGAGATCGCACGGGAGAGCATACGAGGGAGCATTCGGGAGACCGCACTGGAGACCGTATTGGAGAGCATACGGGATCTACGACCACCCTTCGAGTGATAACGAGGTTGGGGGGGAAAGAACCAGCTGAGGACAATTGCGGTGATTGTGATGGTTGCGGTGCTGGTGATGCGCTCACGAGTTGGCGGCGATGCTGACGACAGTGCGTGATGGCCATGGGCTGACTTTCTGGCGATGCTGTCGAAAAAGCCTGATGCGACGGGACGCCGACGGGACACCACAGCGGGACACCCCGGGCTACCGCCCGCGGACGCCGACGGAACGACGACGGGACACCACGGTTGGACATCCCTGGCCACGCCGGTCCACCAGAGGGGCGGTCTTTTGCCCTGACCCGCCCTGGCCACAGCGGAGTCAGTCCTCTCGCCCGCCCGCGCAGCTTCGCCGCGCCAGAGTGCACGACACGAGCCCGAAACCGTAACCGATTTCCAGGTGGGGGGCTCTCCGTTCGAATTCGACTGCACCCCCCGAGCCTCTGACCTGGGGTCCGTTTGGGAGACCGTACGGGAGACCACGGGCAACCGATTCTGGACTCGGAGCGGCGCACACGTGCCTCCGACGAACATTCACCATGGTAGCAGAGGCCGCTAAACAGCAACGCTGCAGATGAAGGAGAGCGCCGCGTGGGGCACGGACGGGGGAGAGCCTTGCGGGCGTCCGCACGGGAGTCCACACGGGAGGCCATATGGGGGGCCGTGCGGGAGACCACGTCGGATACCATACGGGAGGCCATACGGGAGGCCGTGCGGGAGACCGTGCGGCGGACCATAGGGGAGTCCCTGCAGGACATTCGAGCAGTCATACCGGACACAGTGTTCTGAGCCCCTACGGGAGGCCATGTTAGAGACCATGCAGGAGGCCATGCCGTGCGGGAGGCCGTGCGAGGAAACAGACGGGAGACCATGAGGGAGACCATAGGGCGGGCCACAAGGGAGACCATCGCGGAGACCAGCTGGAAAAGCGTACCAGAGTCCATACGGAAGACCATGCGGCGGACGATATTCAGGAGGGAAAAAACACACGGACACAATGAATCGTCGATTTCCAGGAAAGTAGGGGAAAATATGGGAAGTGGGGGGAAGACAAAAGCCCAGACAATATACGGAAGATATAGGGAATCCTGTTATTTGTGTATTTATTTGTGTGTCCCAGGGCCCCTTCAAACACGAAAGACCATCGGGGAGATCATCCAGGAGGTCAGACGGGAGATTATGCGGAAGGCCATACGAGAGACCATAACTGCGGCAGACCGTCCGGGGCACCGTACGGAAGACAAGGTTGGTTGAGTTGGTTGAGGATATGGGAGACCATACGGGAGATTCTGCGGGAGACCATCCGGCAGACTACAAGGAGACTTCGTGGGGTGGACCACAGGAGGTACCATACGGGAGGCCATGCAGAAGACCTCGGGCCATTGACTCAGGACCCTCCGGCGCTCGCACGAGGTGAGACAAGCTTCCAAGTGAGTATGCACGGCCAGCACGGATAAGCTGCTGAGGGACAAGTTACATACACACACGTGTTCGGAGTTCTGCGCGGATCTCTATGGTCGGCGCGGGTCCCCCTCCCCTTAGCCTGGCGCAGCCCCTCGCGCGCCTCTCGCGTCAGGGAGGCAGGTCCAGCGAGGATCCCGGAAATTCGCGGACGTGTCTATGCTGATGTTTATTGCTTGCGTAGTTGGTGCTCCACCGCCTGGGATACCGATCTTCCTGGCCCCCGGGAGGTGTCACATCTTGATGTATCTCCCATTGGGGACCGTGCGTGTGTATCTTTATATATATATATATATATATATATAATTATGCATGTGTCCGAGAGAGGGGAGGCCGAACGGTCATTTCCTATCCTTGGGTGCGTGGCTGAAGTGGGGTTCCGCGGTGCGGATTGTTGTTGCGTTGTGGCGATGTTGTCGCCGTCGTCGCCCGCGACCCGCCCGCGATCCACCCGTGACCCGCCCCGCGACCACTCCGCCATCCTCCCCGCGACCCACCCTGCAACCCACCCGCGACCCACCCGCGACCCACCCACGTTGATTTGACGAAATATCGACGCCTGCGGCGGGCTCGTCGTGATTTTTTTCGAAATACGGGGCCTGCGGCAGATTGCCGACGACCCCGCCTCCTCCTCCTCTTCACTCATACCTGCAATTGCGGGGTGCTATGCATGGGGAGGAGGCCCCGAAGTGCCTGATTTGGGTACCCAGCCTTTTGCCCACCCCTTGGGCGAGTCGTGGCCCTTCCAGGCGCGTCCGGTGGGCCTTCATGTGGATCGGCAGCTCGAGGCGAGTCGAAGACGGCCGAAGGGTGAGCGTTCCGAGACTGCTCCAGAGGGGCCCAAGACAGCAACATGAAGCTTCCACAGGGCCCAGGAGACCCCCAAGACGGTCCGAGAGGGCCCTAAGATGGCCCCAAGAACGCGCCAAGTCGCAAAATTCAATGGTGCCTCGCCTGTTCGGGCTTAACAGCCCGAGACAAGGCAAGAGGCCTGCAAAATCACCCCAAGACGGCCCAAGATGCTCCCAAAAGAGCCACAAGAGGGCCCAAGAGGGCTCCAGGATGGCCCTAAAGGTTCCCAAAGACGATACAAGGATTGCCCGAAGACGGCCCCACAGCCTTCCAAACGAGCCCAAACGGATCCCAAAGCTAGCTTTCGAAGGCATCAGACGGGCCACGAAGCCCTAAGACATCCCAAGATGGCATCAAGAGGCCCCAAGAGGCGAGGTCTGCAATAATTCCCTAAGAGGCTCCCAAGAGGCCCCAACGAGACTCCCAGGAGGCTTCAGGACGGCCCCGTGACATGCCAACAAGTCATCTTTGCAGTTCATGCGATCGTGCACCCGCAGTGCTTGCACACCTTTTCTACCCCGTTCTGCATTTTCAGCAGATGGGCCGCGTCTCGTCTGCATACCTCCTCTCTCAGCCCGTCTCCTCCCTGCTCCCTTCTCCCTCTTTCCTCCCTCATCCATTCTCCCTCCTTCCCAGGCATTTGGCCTCCGCCCGGTTCTATTTTCTGCGTTGTTCTCCTTCAAATTGTTCTGTCGTCTGGTGTATCCTTCTCCGTCATCCCGCCTCCTCCCTCCCCTTGCCTTCCGTTTCTTTTGTCCGTTTTTTCTTCCTAGGTCATTCCCACATTCCAACTTCTCAGATTTGATTCGGCCTTTTGTCTCCTGCCGCTTGCCTCCCCCCTTCCTCCGTCCTCGCTCCTCTTCCTCTCCCTCCTCCTCGTCCTCCTCCTCCTCCTCCGTCTCTGATGCAGCGCCTACTTTCCCCTCTCAAGAACAAGCCCACTGGCAAGCTCATCAACAGGCACAGCGAGAACGACAAACACGTGAACTCCAAGAGGCTCAAGCCGCTCGTGACGCCCACGAAGCCACACAGCCTCCCGCCGCAGCCGAAACCTCGCAACATCAATGGCATGCTCAACATTTGGCTCACGCAGCTCAACAGCGCGCACCTATTACAGCAGCGCCCTCTACCGCCGCAGCCAGCTCTGGACATACGGCATCGGAAACAGAGCCAGCCAATGCAGCGGAAGGCACCGCCACGCCAGCAGGAGGACCGTGGCCTCAGTCAACGCTGGACCCAGACATCCAGCGTGAACTCAAGCAGCTCATGGCATCACAAGTGGCAGCAATCAATAATGCAGTTGGTGAAACCGTATCCGCCTCGCAAACGCAGTTCATCGCCGCTCTACAGCGGCACGAAGCAGCTACCACTCGCAGATTGGACGGGCAAGAACAAGACCTCATGGCCATCAAGACTGCTCAAGCCAAACAAGAAACACAGCATCAGGAAGTCTGGAATGCCATCCAGCGTATCAATCAGCAACTCAGCCTGGGCGAAGCCGACGCTCCCATCCTGGACATGGCCAAGCTCTCTGA